TCGTTTTCTGATTTAGATGCATAAAGAATTCCAATTAATGCTTACAAACAAAACAGAAACCTGACCTTGTTTTTGAGATTTTATCCACCGTTTGTTCAGTGAGAGCGTCAATAAATTTGAATATATCGTTAAAAGCAGTTCCCGTGTGCCGTCGCCCAAAAAGGCTGTAATAAATAGTTCTTAAGGAACTTTGCTCGATTGCAGCCAGAGAACACTTGTCCTCTAATTAAAGAATCTAAAGTTTTATCAGATTGCGTTTCAAAGCGTTTGGCAGCATGTAGCGGAAGGCTGACGCTTTGCAACTGGCTGCAGCAAAACACGGACCAGAATCTTTCTGGTTTTGTTCCAGTGAACCGTACGCAAGCGTGTGTGTGAACTGGTACCATCGCTCCAGGTGCAAGCCGGCCAGCTTCTCCGGGTCTTTGGGTGGGAACATCGTTGGACGGATCTGAGTGTGGCGGCTGCTCGGAACCTCGGACCAATCGGAGAACCACTGGCCCTCCTTGGTCATCAGCTGCAGAACAAAAACAAGACCGAGTTCATTCCTTAACTTTGAATTCTGAATTGTTATTTTTGGTTTTGGCTCAATTGGTCTTTATTTGAAAGTGCTATGACAGGAAAGTATGTGAAGAGACAGAGGGAAGACGCGCAGCAAAGGTCACCAGCCTGGAAATTGAACCTGCGACGGCCTCGTCGATGTGGGTTGTGCTTATCGCCTGCCCCACCACAGCACACCCGAATGCTATATTCTTAAATAAATAAAAAATAATAAAGATAAACGTTGCAGTACCTTCCAGGAAGTGACCCCGGGCATCCACTTGAGTCCTGGCAGGTCGGCGGACGCGTCAGCCAGCTCCAGCGCTCCTGCCACCATGTGGACGGGTCGAGAAGTTTCAGGTTTGATTCTTTTTTTGTCTCTTTTTAGGGTTAATAAACTATAAAAACTTCTCTAAACACGTGAAAAGTGTCCGTTACCTTCACTTTTCTCCAGCAGTGCCGCTATGACGGCTTCGTCCTCTATCGGGTTGAGCGAACAGGTGGAGTACACCATCCTCCCCCCTACGGCCAGCTGCTCAACGCCACGCACCGCAATGCGCAGCTGCAACCTACAAAACACACACAAACGGGTAACGCACTGGTGCCGACTTTGGAAATCAGTGCCACAGCAACGGGTCTTTCCTCTCCTACGTCAGCTTTGTCTTCCTTGAGGAAACGCCCGACTCACCCGTGGAGGTGCAGACTGTTGCTGGTCGTCCATTTCTTCCACACGTCTATGTTCTTCCTCATGGTTCCGTCTCCGCTGCGGAACACAGGGCAGAACCAGTCAGAACCTGTGGAACCGAAACCTCCAGACAGTTTGGGTTTCAGCAGACGGATGAGTTCCTGTGTGGTTTGGTTCCTGCCCTTGTTGAGTTTGGCAGCGTCTCTCTTGGCTCCGGTCTGGAGCCGACCAAACTCTGACAGCTTTGCAAACTGCTGCAGTTTGGTTTTGGCTAAAGGATTTTACATATCTTAAAAAATATATATATCAAGAAGAAGAATAAAAATAAAAAAATCACTTTGGAAATACCTAAATGGAGAAAGAGCCTCGTCTCCATTAACACAAACATCACCTACTTATTGATCCTGAAGACCAAACTTCATTGTGACCCTGCCTTAGAGTGGTTTCTGGAACAGATAAGTCATTTTTAAAACACTTTTCTGAGTTTAACACTTAGCGAAAACCGTATTAGCTGCACTTGCATTATAAATGTGCACAGAACGCTGTCGATATACGTGATAATGAAAAGGTTGGGGACTACTGATCTAATGGGAACAAGTTTTCAAGATTCCTTTTCCTGTTTCAGCTAGTGGGAAAAGGAAAAAGTAGGTTGTAATTGAATGACCAAATTATTCTCAAAGATGGTGACTTTTTGGATTCAACAAATAACCCAAAGCTGAACACAACACAAGTCCATGCGACGGCAGATCGCTCAAGTGAAGTCAGGACACAAAGCACTGATGCAAATGTGGGTGCTGAATGTGTGCAAACCTATTTTGTCTTTTCTTATCTTGTCGTGTCTCCCATGTTTATACAAAAACCCCAAATATTGTCCACAGTTTACAGCTTGTCATAAAACGCCTAAACCTCCAGCCAGATGCGCCCTCTGACCTGCAGGGAACGTCACACAGGACCCGGTCGTAGAACAGGACGTCCTTCCCGCCGTCGGAGTCGATCTGCAGCGTGGGGATGCAGGAGGCGTCGTGGTTCACCACCATGATGCACGGACTGTTGAGGCGCTTGGCCTGGTGCACCAGCAGGTAGCAGCGCTTGTTGTCCACGTCATTGGCAATCACAAAGCCCTCTGAGCAGCAGAGACGGGGGTTTAAACGCTCGTTACAACATATAGCGGGAACTGATTTTTTTATTTACAACTGCGTTCACCAGGAAACGGCACGTCCATGTCGGAGTGAAGCATCTCGATCAGCTGGGCCGTCTTCGAACCGGGAGCGGCGCACATGTCCAGGATCTGCACCGGAGAAGCGAGTCGGCGTTTAGAAATGCGGCTGCGAGTAACTTCAGCGTGGATGAAAACGAGGGGAAAAAAAAAATTTCAAAATTAGAAACGGATGTTTGTCTACCTTGTGGTGGGACTCGATTTTCAGCAGCAGAGGAGGGATCATGCTGACAGCTTCCTGTCTGCTGATGTTACCCTGCAAAGGAATATCAAGCAAAGTACTGAGGCGTGTTCAAATGATGCAGACTTTGATGAAATGTTTTAATTAATGGGGAAGAAGAAGAAAAAGTCTCAAAACCTCCCCCTAAAAAAAAAAAAAAAACAACTTACAGATTCTGTCTCGCTGACCAGGAACTGATGAAACTTCTCCAGCAGGGGAGACTTCCTGATGAGCTTCCTGCTCATGTTGGTGTGCCAGGCCTGCTCATCGGGATACCTGGAGAGAAGAGCTTAGCTTTATCACAGGTTTAATCTGTAAAAACTTTATTTACCGCAGATTTTACACGCTGAATCTGTAATAAAAACAGACTGTGCGGTTCAGAAATAAAGGTTCAATCTGTAATAAATATAGATTTCACAGGTGGACATAAATTTTACGTGTAATCCGTTAATTACTTAGTGCAGATTCAACCTGTAAAATCTGTGTTTATTTCAGATTTTACAAGTTAAATCTGCTTGGCTAAAGACTTACCAGCTGAGAGGCTGCGGGGCTTCAATCCTCTGGCTGTCGATTTCCAGCTCCTGAATATCTTTGAAGTACTTTTCCTTCAGACAGTGGAGGATCTCTTTAGCATGACTGCAACATGGGAAGAAAAGAAGAAAAAATAAATCAATCAGGAAGTTGCAAGAAATTGACCTGAAGCTGACCTCGGCCTCATGCTGCTCACCTCTTGTACCCGGTGATGCGGATGGTTGCGGGCAGCGGCTCCCTCATGGCCTCCATGAACTGGTCAAACTCTCCCTCTGGGATCAGGCCTTGTTCCTTGTAGTAGTCCTCAAACAGCTTGTTCTCCTTGATGATGTCCGCGTAGCCTGCTCCCCAGCCCTGGAAAACACGGATGCCTGTGTATGAGCTGTGGGAAAAGCCCTCATGAAACCAGGGAGGGTTTTTCAGTGCCACTGCTTAAAAATGTGCATTAAATCTGATTAGTGAAGTTCAACGTGTCAGATTTGTCTTTCCAGCCTCCTTTAAACTGCTTGGCAAGTCGTTAAAGACTAAATTATTGTCTGAAATGTGTCGTGTAGATATTAAAAAAGAGACATTGTAGCTGTAGGTCTTAAAGAAGGAAACCACGTTTACAGTGACAAACTGTCAACACACATGGCAGCTATAAAGCAAACTTTCCTCTTTTGCTGCTCAGAACCTGCAGCAAGTTTAGCTAACCAGACTAACCATAACACGTCGCTTCTGACGTTCACAGAAGCGGCGTAGCTTTACTTTAAACGTCGTCAAATCGTGGCTGACTGAACCAAACACACTAGCAGGGTTTTGCTACAGCGGGAGTGCGACTCTCTCTTACAGCGTTGTCTCTGTCGTCTCTGCTGACACTCTGGTTTTTCTGCCTCTGGCGGCTTCTTTTCCCCATGCTGGAGCAGCAGACGACTCTGGACAAGAGTCTTCGCAACGACGTGGAGGAAGTCAGGGCGCGAGGAGACTTGAAACTCGGCAACGCAAATCTTCAACCAGCAGCCTTTGGGGAGAGATGTGTTGCTCTGCTGGGTATCACCGGAACGTGTTGGCTGTGTGACGCACGTGAATCAGGACCTATTAGAGGTAGCCATAATATTTGCCAGAAGTAAAAGGACACATCTCCGGGGCGGTGGGGCCGTTTTTATGCCTAAAGAAATGTATCTATATTTATAAGTAAGTCCGCTGTGTCCCGAGGGTTTTTTTTTTAGGTAAAGCTTAATAATAATAATAATAATAATAATAATAATAATAATAATAATAATAATAATAATAATAATAATAATAAATATTTTAATGATAATAATAATAACAACACCAACAACTAAGCTAAACAAATTCAATGTATTATTATTATTATTAGTAGTACGGTAGTAGTAGTAGAAATAAATATTTTGTGATTGTTGGAAGCGAGCTTGCCCCTCACAATATGGTGACCACGTTGACGTATTGCGTCTCCTGTGAAACTAAGCCCCTGGCTTGTAGGTAGCTCTGATAGGTGGGATTTTCAGAAACACTTCTGACTGATTGGCTAATTATTCATGCTCATCCACAAGGGACAACTTGGAGCTTTCGTATTAAAAGTGCTGTAAAAGTACACAGCAACAATAAAATCACAGTAAGCTAATGGAAACATAAATAGTTTGTAGGCTTAGGTAGCATTTAAACAAAAAATAATTGAATATTTATGACATGATATGGACCATCTTTTCTAGTTGAGTAACGTCGATGCAAAGCTGAGTTTTGTGATTGGCTAACAACATCTGACGTCATATGGCTCGAAACGTGATTGGTTCGAGGCGGCCCCTCTCGTGCGCTCAGTCGGGCGTTGCGCTTTCTGAGTGACAGCACAAACCAGTTCATGTCCTGTGAAACGAGAGCGGTGTCTCACCTTCTGATCCGGTATCGTTCACCTTCCCCTCGCAATGGACGTCTTCCTGTCCCGGCTGTTCTCCTCGGAGGAGCAGGAGCTGTACATTTTGGACCGCATGGCAGACTTCATGGACCTCATGGCAGCCTGCACATTCGTTAGTTTGCTTTTCCAAAACGTCCCATACGGAAGATATGCTTCGAGCAAATACGGGTTTCCTGTCAATGTGAAGTTTGCCTGGTTCGTCCAGGAGCTGCCCTCCTTGTTGTTGCCCCTGTGTTTGGTGTTTTGGACATCTGCCTCTAAAACGTCACTGTTATCCAATCAGCTCCTCATTGCTATGTTCCTCTGCCACTACGTTCAAAGGTAAGTAACAAGCAGCTTTTACATGAACTTAATCTTTACATTAAATGTACTTGTACTTGTATTATTACCTATAGGTAATAATAATAATAATAATAATAATAATGTATGCAACTGTGTTTATATAAATGTGCAAGTCTGTAAAATATCTGACGTTTTATTATTATTATTATTGTTGTTGTTTATTTGTTATATTTTGCAGGACTCTTATTTATCCATTTTTAATTCGAGGAGGCAAAGCAACACCATTCGCCTCATTCGCCCTGGCCTTTGTCTTCTGCATATACAATGGCTACATGCAGGTTCGGTACCTGAGTCATTATGCAGAGTATCCTGCAGACTGGGTTACACATCCACGCTTCATCGCAGGTGAGGGTTCCCCGTCCAATCAGCGGATCTTTCATAGTGGCCACTAAAGGTAGAATTGCGCGAGTTGAAATTGTGAAAATAAATGTCTTTTTTTTTTTCGGCAATGTAGAGCTTACTCTCCCATTTTTGCAAAGTTCGTAAAACGCTGAGTGTCATTGGAACGTGTCAAATCCGTTGCTCTTCTGCAAAATGAACACCAAGCAATAAAAACCCCCCAACTTATTCACAGTTCATTCTAATTTAATTCAATAGAAACACAGTGAAATTGTGTTTTTTTGACATTAGCAAAAATATCGACAAATTTTTGCACACATTAGTAATGGAAATGCAGCTAGTGACTCGCACGTCTTTGCATTTTGTCATCTTACAACTTGAATGTGTTTTATGTGATAAATAGACCGACACAAAGTAGTGTGCATTACCCAAGCAGAAAGTAAGTGGGTTTTTAAAATTAGAACTCTGTAAGAATGTGCCCTGCATTCCCGTCATCATTAACTCATCTGAATATCCCTATCTCCTACTGTTTACATTCTGCAAGGCTGAAACTATCTAAACACAGATGCGTCTCCCTGAGGGAGTGGTGGGATAAGGGAGGCTAGGAAACATTCGCGTCATCAACAAAACTGGTCACAGTGACCTTTAAAGATCAAGGACGTTCTGTGCCCAACCTCGCAACCCACAGTGGTGGATGACACGTGAAAAGCATTGAAGGAAAACCGTACAGCCCTACTGTTGGTCGTCGATTGATCATATCTGCTCATAGAGCTTCGGGTCCGTCTTCAGGTTCTGCTCTGTGGCTGATCGGCTGGCTGGTGAACATCCACTCTGACCACATCCTGAGGAACCTGAGGAAACCCGGTGAGACGAGCTACAAGATTCCGAGAGGTAAACGTAGTCATCACATATTCATAATTTACTGATGCTGTAAACAGCCAGACAGCAGAGAATATAGTATAAATAAATACTCAGACACTTTTAGGGTTTTCAGACATTAATAAGAATTTGTAGTTGCTATGGTAAATTAAAAATTATTTTAAGAAACACAATAAATGCATGTGTCTAATAGTTATAATAATAAATGCAGGTGTTAGCTGTTTTTTGCCTCTAAATATGAGTCACATTATTTTGCAGATATGCTTTATGTTGAAAACTGTTGTTTTTTTTCTTATAATTTTCTGCAAATATCGCAGACCTTAGAAGAAAGTGTATCGATTTTCTCTACTTTAAAACAGAAGTTAAATTGTGGGGCTGATGGTGGATATTTTTCCGAAATGATAGTTTTCTTTTTTTTCAAAAGCTTGTGTAAGGTTTTTGTCTCCAAACAAGATTTATTTATATGGAAAATGTTTTTGAATAAGTGTGTGTATTTTATTTTCTGTCCTGTAATGCTGATTACATCCAATCAAAAAAAAGAATAATATCTCATTATAGTTTTTTTTCTCTTTGGAGATAGTCAAAATGTTGCTAAGAAACAAGAACTGCTGGTACATTGTGTTGTTTGCGAAAATGGCAGTGAAAATCTGTCCAACGTGTTAAAGCTGATCAGCAAACCATGTCTTTCTTTCTTTGTTCACTTGAGTGAGCCCAGTTTTATTTGCAGATTACAAACATAGCAGATAAAAAATATATATTATCCAGAATTGTGCATTTTCTTATACAAAAATTGCTTAGCAATATTCAACATGTAAAACGCAGGGAGACGGCTGACTGATTAGAGTCGCACTTTCCTCAAAGCTATGTTTAACTGGAAGCTGTCAAGGACAGTCTATTTACTTTGTTTTCCTTCTTGTCACATTAAAACCATAAACTTCAATCCAGTTTATTTGTAATTTAATGCAACAAACCAATGCAAAATAGTCCATAGCTGAGAAGTGGAAGGAAAATCATATGCGCTTTCCTGCAAATGCCAGAAAATAAAATCTGAAAAGTGTGGACTCTCCTTTGCGTTGATCACATAAAATCCTAAACAGAATCCTCGAAGTTTGTGGCTATGAAAACGGATAGGACAATCCAGAAGTTTGAATCATTTTAAATGAGACTGTATTTAACTATACCGTGTCTAATCATTGCTTCCTTGTGAAAATGTTTTTTCTTAACTCCTTTTTCTTAAGTCGGTCATTTTTCTTTTTTCTACCACGTCCCAGCTGGTCCAAACCCGTTCTTTGTTCTATTCGCATCTTTCAAAAACAGGGTGTCCTTAAAAAGTCTTAAATTTATGCATCTAAAATAGAGACATTAAAATGACTTAAAAAGTGTTGAATTAATGTATGTAAAACTTCCAAATATCCTCAAATTAATGCGGTGTCCAACTGATTTACATCACTAAACATTTTTCACATGATTGGTGGAAAACGGCCTCTTTACATCATGAGAGAGCCGCTGTAAATGTCAAACCACCCAGCTACGTCTTCCAGAACAGCGACCTGATTAAAGTTGTATATTGTTTACATATATATATATTTTTATTCCGCGGCGGTTGTTTTTTTGTTTCGTCAAACACATCAATGGTTTCCTCTCCTCTCCTCTTTTCTCCTTCCTGGCCTCAACAGGAGGAATGTTTGAGTTCGTGTCCGGAGCCAACTTCTTGGGAGAGATAACTGAGTGGGCCGGCTTCGCTCTGGCGGGCCGCTCGGCTCACAGTGCAGCCTTCTCCATCTTCACCACAGTGGTCCTCGCCAACAGGGCTGTGGCCCACCACAAGTAAGAATAACACTCACGCCGAGTTGAGCTCTCGCGTACGTTCGCCCTGAAAGAATCTTTTCTTATCTCGCCTCACAGATGGTACCTCGCTAAGTTTGAAGACTATCCCAAAAGCAGGAAGGCTCTGATTCCCTTCGTGTTCTAGAAAGCTGCAGAGCCGCCCTGGAAAGGTATTTCTGACATAACTCAAGTTATGCTCACAACACAAAAGACTTTTTGCGAAGCTCGGCTGTGGACTGGACAGGGAAATACGTGGATCCATCCAATAACATCGACAAAAAAGTAGTAGAGACTGAAAATCTGAAGTCGATGTTGAATGAAGACCAGTGACGTGCACAGATATCTTGGGGGTCAGGTGCTCAAATTTTTTCCCACTTTGTTCAATGAGAGTTTCAATAATTGTGAAAGTCTGATTAAACCCACTTACTGTTCGCAGATAAGTTGCACTGCGTTCAGCTTCTATGCAGCAGAAATTTGGAACAAACTTCCAGAAAACTGCAAAACAGCCGAAACACGGTTCCTTTAAATCATGGCTTAAAAAACCCCCCACCTGCTCAGAGTTGCTTTCTACCCATAATCACTGGAACGTTGACCAACATACATGATGTGTATTGATGATTTTGATGATGGGACTTGACAAAACGGTACGTTTGTTACTAATCTGTACGATGTTTTCACGGATTTCTATTTTTGTGTTTTCATGATGGAAAGCGCTTTGAACTGCTCTGTTGCTGAAATGTGCTACGCAAGTAAACTTGATTGAAATGACACTTCTTTATGTGAGGGGTGTCCTGAAGAAGCATCTTACAAAGGGGAATGTTTCTCAAAAGCAGCATTTGTGTTTGTGGGGCTGTAATTGGTGCGACACACAGTCACAGCCATACGGTTGTATTTGATTTAGTAGATACTGGTAGTATCGTTATCACAATACCACCAGAAAATATTGTGATATAGTCAAAATTTAAGAAGGGCACTTTTTTTGTCCATAGGAACAAACCAGCAGGTGCTATAGCACCTCCTAGTGTCTTATCAGTGCATGCCTCTGATGGAGACATTTTAAATCTGGTCTTCCTGCTTCTTTCTGTTTTGTTTATCACTAAAGAAATCCAAAAACCAGACAGAGGAGTCTTTGCCGTAACAGTAAAGCCTGATACTTTTATCCGGTTTCAACATGGAGATCACGCGCGTCCTGTCAATAACTCACCCGAGGCTGAAACGAGGAGATGAGAGCCCTGCCTGAGCACCGCTGTGGGGTCTCTCCACCAATCAATGAAGAAGAGGAACTCGCTGATAAACCTGGATGGCACATCAGCGCCACATGGAGAACGTGCAGAGCTTGAAAAGACAGAAACTTGTGAGAAAATATACAATTGGAAATGTCAGAATTGATTTGAATGTCTTGTAGCTTCTGCTGTTGTTTTATGGTGACTTTTACAATGAGTAAAGTATTTTTTTTCTGAGTGGGAACTGTTATAGATTTCTAATAATGGAATGAAATGTTCATCAAGTGACATTAAATATCCTCTTTTTGATGAAAACAAACATGTTCAAAAAGCATTTTCCTTGAAATTATGTATTTTCCTATAACTTTTTACAATTGTACACAACTTAGTGCTGTTTTGTCACATAAAGTCTCAATAAATTGATTTTTTTTTTTACGACTGTAACATGAGATCATGTGAAAGTTTTGATATCTTTTCCAGGCACATAGTGCCATTTCACAGCACAATCAAGTAATTGTGTTAACTTCAGTTGTTAGAAAAATGCTGCATGTATATCAAACATGACGTAACCCCTTAACCTTCACATCCGGACAATAAAATGGAAAACCGGAACACAGGTTGCTCTGTGAGGCGGAAGTTCAGACACTTGGAAACTGCAGGAGGAGGAGGAGCTTCATCCTTGAAGGCGGAGCTAGCTCCGCCTCGGCGTTTTCACAGTTGAGTGTTTGCCACGGGAGAATAAAAGATTCCTCAAACATGCATGAAGGAATCAAGGCAACACTCCAAGTATATTTAGATTATTATTATAACATCATAAAGCTATAAAAAGTCTATTTTATATAATACTGCCCCTTTAAGGCTCTGCAGTTCAGCTTAGTGCTACACTGAGATGTCACCATCAACATTTTTTACAGACCTATGTGTTTTGCTGTAATTTTCCACCCACCATCAATAAAAATATAACTACTGTATCTAATCGTGATGAATTGTGACGGCTCTGTCACAGATTGACGTCCTTCATTTTCCAAATCTGCTGGCGTCTCGCTCCTTCTGCTTCTTCTCAGGGCCGTTTCCTGCATGCATCCTCTATAGCCACGCTCCTTGTAATTGCATCACTATATTACACTCGACAGTTTTAAATGAGACTTCCTCTTTAATTTTTAGCATCATTCATTTTGGGGCAGATGGAAGTGAGAGCTCTCAATTTTTATTTTTTTTTAAAGCATAGCATCTTGATAAAAGGTTTTGGGTTTGGGACTGATTTCCTCGGCCTACTCAAGCGGTGTGGTAGGTTTAGACGGTTTAATTTTCTCTAAATGCATGTAGAAGACCTAAAATAAAATGTTAATTCCAAACGTATCTACAGAAATATTTTAGCGTGAACTGATCTCTATGTAGTTAATCAATCGAACAGAGATTAGGACGCTTCTATCTGTGATCTGTGCTGTTTAGTCATAGTAAGACGGTTTTCTTTTACGGCCAGTTCAGAAATCAAATGCCATCTTTTCAACAGTTATTCACTCGGAGCAAATTACAAAGCTGCAAAAAGTATCAAAATGATAAAAAGAAGCAGATAGAGTAGATGGATAATACTTCAATTAAATCGCACTGATATAACGTGACGCTGGTTGTTTCAGTTACAAAGTAAAAAACATCTTTTAGGGATGAATCTTTATGTTCTCAAAGCCATATTTTCCTGAAAGGCTGGAATTAGATTTATTTCCCACAAACACAGCTACTTTCTCCAACTTATTTTTAATCATTTACCACAAACAACTAAGCAGGCTGCAAAGTGCTATGTTATTTTTTTTACACCTGGAACATTTGGGATTCAAAGGTCCCACAAATTTCAGTAAATTTAATATGTGCAGACGAGTGCATAAAATAAATAAACATCCTTGTTTTGATCATTTTATTAATGTATTTCTTCATCTTTAAAATAAATCATGTGGTTCTGTCATCAGTACCTATTACTAACGGTAAAAAAATGTTAATACCTACTGTCTGATATAGTTTGATTCATGTCTTTTTATTTGTACATAATAGCAACCCATAGTTTATCATATTATATTCCACTTTGTGACATTAAATGGTCCAGTCGGGGCAGATTTTAACTTTCATAACATTGTCTTCAACAGGCAGAAGCTTTCAGCGCAGCATTTCAATCAAACATTGGTCAATAATCGAGTTTGATTTGAAACCTGCATTTAAAAAATAAAATTGGACATTTTCACTGTTGATGTCAAAAACAAAATCCTTCCTTTTTATGACAAAGGAAAGCTCTTTTAGATGAAAAGTCTTCAGTATGTCCACAGATACTTGCTAATATTAACATTGATGGAAAACATGTTTCCTGCATAGATTGAAGTAAGCATTTGCATATGTAAAAAAAAGGGAACAAAATGTTCTGCTTCCAATACCTGAACATTTATCCGTGCCTCTAGAGGGCGCTGTTGAGCAGACTTGAATTTCTCAGCTTTTTTGTTTTGTTTTTGTCTCCAATCTATCCATCTTATGATGGATTAAAAGCAGGCTAGAAGAAAAAGAAATCGTACGTATAAACATCTGGAAAATCTCTTGATGTTTGTAAAGCATCTCTTTCTATGCCCTCTTCTACAAAAGATGAGTGTAAGATAAAGCAGCCGTTCGAAAGCAATAACCTTCCCAGGCTACTCTGTCACTTTGAAGCTTGTGTTTTGACTTGATTTCCGCTGGCTTACAGTGTGAATGAGTAGCTGTGTACATCCCTAAGTGTGCTACAGCTAGATATCCTAGCTGACACATGGCTTCCCTTAGGGGGGTTTCCTTGACGGGGGTCACATGCAGCACATGAGTAACACAGACTGAGGCTGGAAATTATGCGAGTAGACCATCTCCTCTCTCTCACTCCTTTTTTGCATGCGTGCACAATGTTTTCGCTTTGCCTTATCCAGCAACTCTGTGGCACTTTAGAGCTTTAAAGGTTTGGAGAGAGCAGCACCTAGAATGATCCACACCATCTGCTTTAAAAAAAAAAAACATGGATGTAACAATAAACAGACAGGGAGACATTCCTGTTGCACTAACACAGCAAAAACACACAGTGCCTCACAAAAGAATTCATTGTGAAGCAATTTACTCTCATTACATTGGCAGATTATGAAACAACAGCAAACCTGCCAAAATATTTAAATTGCTTAGACTTATTTATATTTTTTTTTGAAGAATAAGCATTTAGAAATTTACATGCAAATACTAATATGTGAAAATAAGACACACCGTTAACCGGTACGTTCAAAAAGTAGTTAACTCAAAAATTGCAGCTACACATAAGAATTTGTAGCCTCAAACAATGGCTGCTGGAATCCGAACAACTCAGAGCATGTTAATGGTGTTTTCCGTTTGTAGTCAAAGATAACAAATTGCAGTTCTCCAGTTGGAAAAAAAAAAAATCACCCAGAATCCTCCTCAAAGCCGGACTTCCCACTCGGGGAGGCCTGAAAGTCAGTTTCGAGGTCCAACATGGCCGCTCCTGGAATCAACAATAGCAAGCTGTGGTGGAAACACCTTCATTTTATAACACGCGCTTGTACTGCAACAATAATTGACGTTACAAGTAGCGCCGGCAGCTATGCAAGAAACAATTGAAAGTGGTGTTTGCGTGAGGAAGTGCGTCTTAAAATGAAAGTTTGTAAGAGGTGCAACGAACAATGGTGACTTGGCTATGCTGTTGATTTTCAGTGGGAACCACAAGGAAGGTCAAAGTCGATGAACACAGAAGGAGCAAAATGTTAGTTTGTTTATGCAGATTTTTAAATGTGTATGTCATTTCCTTGTCAAATAAAATAAGAAGGAGATACATAAAGGTTGGAAGTCTGAATATTTTAAAGATGTCTAAATTTTGGAAGGTGCCTTCTGGAGAGATTTTCTTCTGTTTTCCTGTTGCAGCCTAGAGGCTATTTTATCAGTGTAGCAGCTGCTAAATACCTATTTGTGTGATCAGAATTCCATCTCTACAACTTAGACATGTTCCAGGGCAGCAATTTGTGGTTAGGGTGCCAATATTTGTCAGCCCTGATGAAAGATTTAAACCCTGTGTTGTGGCACACAGAGGGGTATCCCTGTAACTTCCCTTCCGTGCGCCCCCTACTGGTGATAGCCGGGAAATTTAAATCCCGGTTTCATCGACCTCGTTGAACTTCCAGAGAACTGCTAGAAAAAATTCAACTGCTCGCTCGCCGTAAATCTCACTTTTATCAAATAAAATCCCAGGTGTTTCTGTTGTCATATTCTTCATTCGTTCGACTCTGACGAGTAAAAAAAAAATTAAAAAAGAGGAGGAGTGGGTGGATGGGAGCACAGTCATTTAAAAAAAAGGGAAAAAGAAAAAAAAAAAAAGCTGAGCAGAGCGCATGCGCCTGATTTGAAGAGAATACGCCATATTGAATTCCCGTAGGAATCACGGCATTCTTGCAGCTACGAGGGCCAGTTTATTAATGGTCCGAAATTGATTTCATGTTTTTATTCCGCCTCGTTCTGTGACACCGAACAGCTCAGCGAGTCTCGTCGGAACCGGTACAGCGGCGCAGATTCAAAACGGACTCGCGAACGACAGGTTACTTGTCGGGGGAGTGGGGGGTGGGGGGTTCACCAGGCAGAGGAGTTGAATGGATCCGAGGGTAGCTTGGATTCAGCCGGAGCAGAAAGGACCTGCGAACGCCTTATGGATGCAAATCTGGGAGACCTCTCAGGGAGTACGGACGCTCTCCGCTCACACTCGGAACCACAGCCGGTGTGTGAGTTATGCGGCTTTGATGGCTCTGAATAATGTGGCGGCCGCGGCGGCATCGTGCAAGAGCGCCTGCAGCCCGAGCAACGGGAACGTTACAGGCAGCCTGAGTAACGGCAGCAGCCATCACAGCATCATGAACTGCCCCGCACGCGGCGGAGGCGGCGGCGCGGCCGCCTCCACGCAAGGGACACCGGCGACCAACGGGACCGCCCAGAGCTCCGTCCCGACGGCGAACGAGCCGAGCGGAGCCAAAATCCCGATCCCGAAGACGGGCTCCGTCTCCTCGTCGTCGTCGCAGGAGTCGGGGACAGAGAGTCCCGTTTCCAGCAGCTCGCTTCCCGAGAGGACTTTGGGCGGAAGCGTGGGGGGCGACGTGAACAAGAACGTCGGCGGCGCCGGGCTGCTCCTCGGCTTGAGCGACGGCGCGGAAAGCAACGCCAACCTGTACCATCAGCAACATCAGCGCAGCCCGGAGGAGCATCCGGCTTTTAATTTGCAGCAGATCTGCGCGAGGCAGCACCAGGTCCACCACTCTGCCGTGCCCGTTA